TAGTTAGTATGCATCTCAGTTTTAGTATTTCCGAGGACGGAAATAGTTTTAAGGGGGGTAGATTGTAATATCCCATTCAGTAATTAATAAAAATAATTATTCTAAGTTTGAACTAATTACTTTTATTAATAATGCTCGTTCCTAGTTCCAAGCCAGTTATTAAGTTATTCAGTTAAAAAAATTCGACTTTAAGTCGAAAGTATTCTCGGTTCAATTTTATTCAGTAATCGATCCAGTTCAGTAATTAATTAATTCAGGTCTGTTTATTTTTATAAATGGATTTATAAGACGGGATTAATTAATATAAGATGACGAATAATCGAAATTGAGTATATTTTGATTAATCGTTTAAGATAAGTAGTGAACTGAACCCAAGTATGTTCGGTCATGAGTTGAGTCTTAATTAAGTAATAGTCGAGCCTGAGTACTAAATACTTAATTTTTCCAAGTGTTCAAGTCATCACGATAAGATCATAGTATCGAGCCTTAGCACAATTTGAGACAAGTTAAGTCTCGAAGTAAGGTTAAGTATCCATGAACATTTAAGTTATAAATGTTCAAAGAAGTGAGAAAATTTATTTAGATATTATAGTCTATTTAAATTATTTTAAGAGAAACCGAAATTTGTAGAATTTTTGGTTTTTACGGTAATCGTCCGGTTTAAGTCTGAATGTGGTTCTGTAAATGTTAGAATATTCCAAGATCTTTATATTAGCTTCTAAGAAGCAATATATTCAGTAAATTGAAGGAAAAACCAGGAGTAAAAGATTTAAATTTTAGAATTTTCAGTTTTACGGTAAACGTTCGTTTTAAGTCTGAATTGAGTTCCGTAAATTTTATTATTCTTTTTTTTCTTAGCATGTTCTAAGACCATATATGAGCATTAATTTTCATAAAAAGAGTTTTAAGAGTCATCCATTTTGAAAGAAAATGCATAAGAAAAAAAAAGGATTATTTTTATTATTTTTTTTTTCTAAACATTTTTATATGATGAATGGGGACATTTTTTCAATAATATATGGAATCAATTCCATCAGATTAGGCACGAAATTTTGGTCATCAATTGGTGAGAATGAGATGAGAAAATCACAACAAAGTTTTGCTAAGTCTTTAAGTTAGCATTTTTTTTCAACAATTGGTGAGAATTTTATTACACTTTGGTGGACTAAGTTTTATCTATCGAAAGCTCATTTATGGCTATAAATAGAGGCATTTCAATCAGATTTTATCATCAAGTATCTTGTCAAATCATCATAGTTTCATCAAAAAGATAGAAGAAGAGAGAAATCAAAGCAACTTTAGATTTTCAAGGCGCTGATCTTGTCGAGGCGAGAAAGGACTGAGCTCTTGTAGATGCTGGCAATGGCCCCTTTGCCGAATACCATGCCATGTACAAGGATGCTATTTTTTTTTACATGTTTAGTAGATGATATTAAGTGTTTAATAATGTTTTTATATGACTTAGATATGAATGTTGTATATGAGTATAAGCATGCTAGAAGATAAGTTATTTCCAGCTCATATATATGTCATATGTGTTCAGTTATGATGAGATTTTTACCTAGCTATGAAAAACCTGGAAATATATGCTTCCTATGGATATTTCTTGTGTAAAAGAGGAGTACATAGGATCAAGAATCACGTCATTTAATTTAGTATAACTCAAGATATGAATTTTTAAAGTTTATCATGAAAGCTGAATTTTATGTACTTGTTTTCAGCAGAAATTTTAAACTTGAATAAGTCGAGATATATGTATGATAAAATTATGAAATTTTTATGACATATCTAATTATGAGTTAAGAATATGACTGTTAAATTTCATAATTTAAAGATAAGAAATGAAGGAGTTAAGATAATAAGATGGCATATATGTAAAGATGAGTATATATGCAAGAATATTCATTATATGATCAAATTGTTAAAGTGAGATTTTTATGAATAATTCTCATATGAGTGATGAGCAATTTGACAAAGTTTTTGTTTAATATGTTGAGTTTACAATTTTTATAAAGATTGTTTTAAATCTCACATATTAAGATCACAATTTAGTATTATGATTAAAAGTTGTATTGTATGAGTATTAAGTTGAAATATTTAGTACCATACAAGTTAAGATGAGTTCATTATTTATAAATCATGAATATGATGTTGGTAAAAGCTAAGCATGCTTTGAGTTTAAATACTCAATCAAGTATAATGTGAAATTTAGTTATTTTCACACTCGAGTTATTTAAGTGACATGCGAGTATAAGCCAATATCTATGATTTTGAAGACATGATTTATAATAGACCTTGAGTAAAAGTTCAAGAAAAGTTAAGTATTAACTTGAGCAATAGCATGTCTATTAAATTTCTATAAGATTTGGATAAGTTAAGAATCCTAGTATCTTATTGAGTATATGAGCATAGCACTCAGTATATTTGTTTATATTTTTATGTAACTTGCAGATACAGTTACCCAGTACAGCACTTACCCTTTTTCAAAAATTTTCAAAGAAAAAAGGTGGGGACCCGGAGTGGGTATCACATTGAGTACGATATTGATAAAAGTTTAAGTTTATATGCTTGGATGAGGAGGCCATCAGTTGTCTCAGAATATATCCTAAGTTCTGATTTATACGCTTGGGATGAGGAGGCATTAAGTTGTCTCAGAGTATATCCTAAGTTCTGATGGAGGCCGTTTAAGTTGCCTTGAGAAATATCCATCAGAGTGTGCACACGTATTACCGATCAGATATCCGTTTATGATTATCTTTATTCAGTACTCATCCCCATAAGTTTATTTTCAGGTAACAGGTTGAGGAGGAGGTGTGAGTGGAGCATTGTTGGTGTGGATCGTGGACTCATACTATAACAAGCTTTTATATGGACATTTATAACAGTCTGTATAACTAATCACGTTTTAAGTATTTCCGCTATGCATATTAAGATTTGAACTTGCATTTTAATAAATTTCAGTTTTCAAGTTTTTATCATTCAAAAGTATGAATATGGTATAATGCAAGTTTAAATAAATCTGTTTTCTTTATGTCTAAAGAAGTATTAGACAAAATTTAAAAATAAACGGTTTTTCAGAAAAGATGAGTTTGAGTAACATTCCGAGTTAGTCGCAAAAGATTTCGAAAGATTTATAAGTATTTTCGAAGTAAAAATTGGGAAAAAGTTACTCTGATAAGCGGGGTGTTACAATTAAAGCAGGAAAATGCTCGATCAGTGGAGTAGGTTGAGAGCTCGGCTCGTCAAACACCTTCATTTAATCAAGATTATTTTCGATCAAGATTCGAGTTTTACGCACTATTTTCGTCCGGGCATGCGATAAGAGAGTAAGTACCTTGCATAGGGCTTACTACTTCAAGTTTGTTTTTCGATTTACGTGTTTATGCTCGATTCTAAGTCTTTGCTTTATTTTCATTGCTTGCTTTAGTGTGTTAGGAATCCGATGCGTGCTTATCTTGTATAGAGGTCTCGACTTTTCTCAAAGCGTTATGATCTAGTGTAGAAAGCTCGTGTTAGTTTACCTAGAATTACCTTGCTCGCATGTTTGCTCTTGTTTATTTTTGTTTTCTTGAGTTATGGATACTCCGTGCAACCAAAGTTTCGATCTTTCTTCCAAACCTTGCATTTTTCATCATTTGATCTTAGATTCTTAGTTTAATTTCGTGCAATCCAATCCAATCAAGCAAGTAGAATTTGTAGAACCTTATTTTCGGTTATGTGAATTGACGACTAGATAGTACATGAAGCTCCGAACAGCCTTCCTTGGAGAACGACTCGAGTTGGATACTCGGTTATCAACAATCCCCAAAAATACTACAAATACAGTACCCTAATTCAATCACCCGATTGATCCAAAGAAATTTTCTTATTTTCTTTAAATATATTTAATTTTATAAAATAAAAATATTTTATGATTCATATAATAAATGTCTACAACAAATAATAGTGCATTAAGATTATAAATTATATATCTAAAGATGACTTACTATTTTTACTTTATACATATTAATAAAAGAAAACATAGTAATTTTCAAAATTTTAAAATTAATTGATTGATTATGCAATTTAAAGAATATTTTTAGCGTTCGATATTTTTTTTTGTTAAGGCACAAATATAAAGACCGAGATTCTAAAACTTTTGTTATATTTTGAATTGAGATTTTATAAATATAGAGACCGAGATTTTAATGTTGTTTGTTGTTTGTAAGAAAAACAAATAAAAATAAAAAGATGCACATTTAATAGATTTTAGTCAGATTTTTTAAATAATAAAATGAACTAAAACCCAAAATTTAAGGTAGCATTTAATGTTGTATGATTTTTAAAGAAAATATAGGCTGCATTAAATTCTAACCATTTTTTTTGCTACTATTTTTGGAAAATGGTTATTCTTATCTATATATATATGAAAAAGTTTTGATTATTTTTTAAATAGTAACTATATTCTAAAAAAAAAATTATTTACTATTTAGGAAAAATAATTTAATAATTTATGCTATATTTCAAATAATCACTTATGAAAATTACGGCTCATTATTTAAGAAAATAATTAAGCTATATAAAGATTCATTTTTAAGATACCTCAATTACTCAAATTAATTTAACATTTATGTTATATTTCAAATAATCAGTTATGAGAAATTAATTTTTAAGATATCTTAATTATTCAAATTATATGAATTGGCCGATTTACCCAAATAAGAAAATTCTGGGTGCAATATCAATTATATGATTTGATAAAAAAAGTTTCAACTAAATTGTAAAAGGGATCCTTATTAATTTTGGTCGTTGTCATGAAAAGGTCTCAAAATACCGAAATCAATTTTTTTATAGCTCGAAGTTTGATAAAAGAAGTTAAGAAGTGGTTGACCATGTTTTGTCCATTTGCAGGCCATGAATTCTAAAATATAAAGTAAAATAAAATAAAACGATTACGTGCTTTTTTTTATATATATTTTTTCGGATAACAAATTTGAATCGAATGATTTTTTATTTAATAGGAATTCACGGGCATCAACAAACTTTCTATTAATGCATTTATTCCCCATAAATCACCATGGTACCACCAACCAGAGCTTGTCAGCATCACTTGTTGAGGGCACACACATTATGCTCCACCGTATTCATTTTGCTCAACAACTAACGCCATTTTATGTGGGCACGGTTTTGACAATAAGGGCAACTGTTTGTTTTTACAGTAATTTGATATGGAAGTGCTGTTTTTAAACCAATTGTTGGTTACATTTCATCCTCTCTAGATATGATATGCTGACTAAGGGTGTAGTCAATAGAGGGAGCTGGCTATATACTGGAGTAGTTACGCAAGTGGGCTTTTTACCACATTTTCACACACACACCTACTACACACCCTTGTTAGAATGTGTGGAATATGCAGTCCACGGCATAGTCACCAACTTTCTCATACAATAATACTTGCATCTGAAACTCAGTTACGCATTTGGGAATAATACGCCCGGGATTAGCCATTAAACAATCTAAGCAAAGGAACGTCGACTCAAAATATATTATACATGAGACAAGCGAACATAAGTTTATCCGAGCAGTTAAAAGCTACACAGGATTAGAAACTCTCGAAAGCAGCCAAAACAAATACAAAATACGCGAATTATTTATTTATATAAAAAAAAAAATAAAATTAAGTGGACAAAAAAAAAAGTGGAAAAAAATCAAAAGCACGTATTTTAAGAATACGGTTTTCAATAATAAACGTATTTAGAGAATACGTGTTTAAGAGAAAAACGTATTCCGTAAATACGTTTTACTGAAAAACAATTAATTAACGTAATTAAGTTAATTAAAAAAGAATAAAACATATTACCGAAATACGTTTTATGATAAATAAAACAAAAAACGTATTCTTGGAATACGTTTATAAATAAAATTAATATTTTTAATTTTAAAAAACAAATATTTTAGAAATTAATATTTGAAAAAATAAAACGTATTTTCAAAATACGTTTTTAAACCTAATTTTTGCCCCAAATCGATTTTGTCCTAATTTTACACAGTAAAACGTATTCTCGAAATACGTTTTTTGTTAAAAAAAAAACGTATTTTCAGAATACGTTTTACTGTGCAGAAACACTACTACACAGAAATAATAATTACAAAAACACACCTGTTAATCGAGATCGATTCCACAACCAAATATTAATTCCACAAAACCCATATCAACCCATGTCAAAGAAAGAACAATGAAGCACAATAATTCATTGTCCAAATATAAAAATCCAAACAAGTCCAAATATCATTACACCTAATCCACCACGAAAGAAAAAAATAAATATATATGTCTACAAAATTCCCGGAATACAACACAACTAACTAGAAGTGTATCGATTCGTAGGGTTGCGCGGTCGGGAGCTAATCCGACGCCGTGGTGGTCGTGAAGAAGACGATGCTGTGGGCGTGGTAGGTTCTTCTTCTTCTTCAGCTGAGTAATTCATTTTTTTAAGAAATCAGAAATTCGACTTAACAAAAATCACAAAACTTAAATAAAATTATATTTTTGTTAAGTAAAAAATGTTTACCTTCTTCTTGTTCTTCCTCAGGCCCGGTGTTGGCAACAGGTTCACGGTGACGTCGTCTTCTACCTCCACGAATATGGGGAGGAGGTTGATGCCTCGCTCGGTGTGACTGCGTCGTCCTCTGGGGTTGGACGTAGCTCTCCTGTGATAAAACTTGGCTCGACGACGTCCCTTGACCGATCTCTCCGCCTCCGACAGTCAGAGAAGTGAAGAGAAGGCTCTTGGCATATTGGATTGCCGCCTGCATCTCCGGATGGGCTAATGATATAGATGCTCAACATTGGATAACACGTTACAAGCCCCCTCCATGCCGCTAGCCTGAAAATTAAATTCAAAGTAATTTTTATGAAACGCAAAAAATAAAATAATAATAGAAAAAAACACACAAATTATAAACACTTACATCGCACTTCCCATGCTTGGCAAGTGGCTGATAGCCTCTGTCCTGTTGTACCACCGGGTACTTGGCAGGGTCACTGATTAGTCTCACAGTCCTACTGTGAAACTAATCAAGGTAACCCTCGCCAGGCTGTACGAATGACTCCACACGCTCATCTGGGAGGACATTTTGGTGTCTTTGTTTGACCCAAACATTCCCAAGCTGGGAATGAAAGTCGACCCAATCATATACTCCCCTCCCGGTCATTCCCTGACCTCGGTGATGTGTCTCCCAGTCGACCTCACCCGTAATGATCAGAGTGTCGGGGATGGACTGATGACACCCGAACTGACGGAGGACTCTACCCGGCTCGTGGGTTTCACGGATGTCCCAACAGAACATCCAGCCCCTATACATCCAGAGGCTTGAATGTTCTGTACACTGGGCCGGGAGAGCATTAGCATTCAAGAGCTCTTTATACGGCATCGAATCGAACTGTAAAAAACAAAACAAAAAAATAATAAGAATTAAGTTATTAAAAGATAAAACACATAAAACAAAAAATAAATAACAATCAATAATACTTAATAATAATCTGACATCCGTCTTAGCCCTGTCAGTTGATCCCGGACAGCGGCTGCTCCGGTGACTATGTGTCTCGTGTCCTTCCGTCCCACCCACCTTAAAAATCACAGAAAAAAAAAGCCCTTTGTAATTAGAAAATTTGATAATTGAAATAATCAAACTATAAAATATATAAATAATATCATTACCTTCCACCTAAAGGACAACCAATGACTCTTTGAAATTTCATATCCCTCATTCTCGGGCGAAGCCGAGGGATACGTTCCCATGCCCAAACCTAAAGATATCGACATATTCATTTGTTATTAAATATTAGTCTAAATTAGAAAAAAATGAATTTTGAATTAAAAAGTAATTAAATGTACCTGAATCAATTGGACACAGCTCTTAATCCAGCCTTCCCCGGTCTGGTAGCTTGTGCACAGCGCTCTATACACTGCGGCCAGGAGCTCCGACCCCCAACTGTACTCCTTGATCTTATCGATGTCGCGCAAGAGCTGGGTCCAGTACAGGTTGACTCCACAGGCCCTCTGATCGGGAAAGAAGAACGATCCAAGGCACCAGAGGATAAGGGCCCTCGCCCTCTCTTCGTAGGTCGTGATGTCTTCTCCATCTTGCAGCACTCTATTGTATTCGTTTTCCAACCTCGAGTGCTTCAGATACTGGCCTACAATGCCCCAAGTTTTGGGGTTGGCTGTCGGGTCGTCTGCTTCCTGAGAGTGATTTATATACATTAAAAACCAAACAATGGATTATACATAAATAAACAAACAAAAAGTAAATAAAAAAAATTTGTTTTAAAAAATTTACCTGGGGGTCGAACCCTAGAAGGTCCACACACTCATCTCGCCATTGCTGGTTTGTAAATTCTGCAGTCTGTCCCCAGCAAGGAGTTCCATCTACCGGGAGACCAAACAGGACTTGTACGTCCTGGAGCGTGATTGTTGCCTCCCCGAAATCAAATTGGAAGGTGTGCGTCTCTGGTCGCCACCTTCCACCAGACAGGTAATTAGGTTGTTGTCGATCTGGACTCTGCCCATCCGAAACAACGGCCCAAAACCCGTCCTATCGATCACCTCTAAAACCGTCGGATGTTGTTTGTCAAACACCTTCCAAAATTCAGTGTCGTTACGGCGGTTTTTAATGGTGCCGTTACGACATCCTTGTAAATCTTCATATACCGCTCTCGACCGGTGGCGGTACTGAAGGTATAAAACGGAGCGACCAATCGGATCGGGGTGTACATTCAACCGTTGAGGTTGTGACGAGGACGATGATGTCATTTTCTACAAATAAATTATATAAACAATAAATTCACAAATAAATTATATACAAGAATAAATTCACAAATAAATTATATAAACAATAAATTCACAAATTCACAAATAAATTATATACAAGAATAAATTAACAAATAAATTATATAAACAATAAATTCACAAATTCACAAATAAATTATATAAACAATAAATTCACAAATTCACAAATAAATTATATACACAATAAATTCACCAAATCACGAATAAATTCACAAATTAAACGTATCTCAAATAATTCGAAGCCCTATTTCACATATAAATTCACAAATCACGAATAAATTCACAAATTCAACATATCTCAAATAATTCGAAGCCCTAATTCACAAATAAATTCACAAATCACGAAAAAATTCACAAATTCAACATATCTCAAATAATTCGACTCTTTAATTCACAAATAAATTCACAAATCTCAAATAAATCCACAAATTCAAAACCCTAAATTTAGCCCTAATTTGAGATTATGAATAAAATTGACAAAATTAAAGCCATAATAGAAGGAATGTACCTTATACAAGGGAAGTAGGCGAGGCGGCGACGGCGACGGCGTGCGGGTAAGTTTTTTTTTTTTTCCTTATGAAATCTCTTCTCTTCTTCTCTCTGTGCTGAATTCTACGTGTAATTAATTGTAAAACGTATTCCCGAGAATACGTTTTACATGTTAAAAAAAAATGGAACGAGGATCCTAGATTCGAGACTTGAACCCGAGTTGGGTGAGTCCGTTATCTCTGGGGGAACCTCGTTACTATTAGGCTGCGCTAGGCTATCACTGATATTATTGCGCAACTTTTGTTCTTATCCTTCAACATCAAGATTTTTTATAGTATATAGTATTTTTAATACATAGTATATACATATATGTTCTAATTTATATAAATATGAATATATGTATAATAGTATATACATATATATTATAATATATAGTATATAGTATATAACATATATGTATAATAGTATATACATATATATTATAATATATATGTATATAGTATATAACATATATATGTTATAATTTATAGTATATAGTATATAGTATATAACATATATATATGTTATATACATATATATTATAATATATAGTATATAACATAGATATGTTATAATTTATATAAATATGAATACATGTGTAATAGTATATTCATATATATTATAATATATAGTATATAGTATATACATATATATTATAACATATAGTATATATAGTATATAACATGTAGTATATAGTATATAACATGTAGTATATAGTATATAACATGTAGTATATAGTATATAACGTAGTGTATATAGTATATAACATATAGTATGTAGTATATAACATATAGTATGTAGTATATAGTATATAACATATAGTATATAGTATATAGTAATAGTATATAACATATAGTATGTAGTATATAACATATAGTATGTAGGATATAGTATATAACATATAGTATATAGTATATAGTAATAGTATATAACATATAGTATGTAGTATATAGTAATATGTTATACTTTATAATTTATACTTTATAGTTTATAGTAATATGTTATAGTTTATAGTCGTAACCCATTCCCCAGATGGGGAACGTAAGCCAAGCCTGGTAGCGTTGTGTAAAACAATTGTTTTTTCGGTAGGTGGCACCGGGTTTGGACCGCAGGGAACCATAGCATGGGGGGACGTCTAATCCTTTTGCAATCTCCCAAGGTATCCAATCCGAACGAGCCAGCTAGTGTGAGGGCAGCACTCACACACTCCTTTCATGCAAGATCTTGGTAATTGGTTGGTGGGGTTCCGCTTACACCTTGGTGTTTGTACAAATATGGTAGCGGAGAGAGTTGAAGAATTTCCATCCGGATTGACAGTTACAGTAAGTAAGACCAGAGAGCGGTCGACTCAGAAAAGAACGCTGTATTGCCACCTTTCTTTTTTTAGGTGGATACTGTCTCTTTGATGCATTTTCACAACAGCAATAAGTAGAGAACCATGCAATCCAAGGTCTCAACGAGCCGTAAATCAAGCTACCCTAGCCTAAGCCTAACCAGGTCTTTTTTTTATGATGAATTAGTCACCTTAGCTTTCATAAGCAGCCCTTCTGGTGAACAGTGACCCATCTAATTGATTCGATCCAGTGCAGAAAGTATATATATAAGCTTACTGGCCTTTACTAAATAAAAACTAGAAAGTCGCACCTTCCCTAGCGGACCTGTTCCCGTACTCTTGGGCCTCCTACGGCCAATTCCCATTCATTCCTCGGTCTCATTTTCTCAAATGAAGGTTCTTGTGCCTGCCCTCTCTTCCCGCCAGTATAGTTTATATGTTATATACTTATACTATATGTTATAGACTCTATACTATATGTTATATACTATATATTATATGTTATATACTATATGTATATACTATATACATATATATTATAATATATATGTATATACTATTATTAGGCCGCGCTAGGCTATCGCTGATATTATTGCGCAACTTTTGTTCTTATCCTTCAACATCAAGATTTTTTATAGTATATAGTATTTTTAATACATAGTATATACATATATGTTATAATTTATATAAATATGAATATATGTATAATAGCATATACATATATATTATAATATATAGTATATAGTATATAGTATATAACATGTAGTATATAGTATATAACATATAGTATATACTATTATACATATATGTTGTATACTATATACTATATATTATAATATATATGTATATAATATATACTATATGTTATATGCTATATACTACATGTTATATACTATATACTATATGTTATAATATATATGTATATACTATATACTATATGTTATATACTATATACTAAATGTTATATACTATATACTAAATACTATATTTTATATACTATTATACATATATGTTATATACTATATACTAAATGTTATATACTATATACTAAAAAACATATACCTGTTTTGCCCTCTCCCACTAGCCCGAAGACCGGTTTTCACCCTGTACCTGGACATTTCGGCGTTCACACATTTCACCTCATGGGTTGCGGCTGTACGTTCCAATTCCAAATAGGCGTTATAGTGCTGAGTAGCAATGAGACTCATGCATCTCATGGTCTTCCTTTGTTCCTGTTCGAACAAATCCAGAGTTTTTTCCAATGTGGCCTGTACCAAAGCTCTGCACGGCAGGAACCTAACGCCTTTCAAGATGTTGTTGTAGCTCTCCGACATATTGGTCGTCAATGTGCCCCATCTATGTCTTCCTTCATCTCCATACAGGGTCCACTTGTTCAAAGGAATGTCGAAAAGGTACTTGTGTGCCTGGGGATTAAATTCCAACAGTCGTTGTTCTGTCGCTCGAAACTTTCGCTCCGACAACTGCGAACCCAAATCCCAACACCAATCACGCACTTTCCTATTCCTAAAGTTAGTGACCACGTTGCTTCGAAGGTGTCGAAGGCAAATCCGGTGATATACAGCGGGTTCTTGCCAACCAACCAACGAGTCAATAGCACTGAGTATGTCGTTTTCCCTGTCGGAGAGAACACAAATCTGTCGGTCGAACACAACATATTGCCGCACATTTGTAAGGAAAAATGACCAGCTATCCTTGCTTTCTTCATCAACAATCGCATAGGCGATTGGCAATAGCCGCTTATTCGCTGTCTGTGCTATATCCACAAGCAGTTTTCCCTTGTACGATCCGCGCAAGTGTGTGCATCGATGCTAATGACCGGCGGGCATCGTTGGAAGGTCTGAATGGCGGGACCAAACGCCCAGAATACAAATTTGAATTGTCTGTCTTCATACTGATGCGCCATTTCCCCATCCTGCCATTCCCACTGTACAACTGTGGTGGGATTCGCTCTTTAAAGCGCGGCAAAAAACCTGCAAATTACAAAACGGTTTCATAAATAGATAAACATAGTGACCGACAAACGACACATGTATTTGTAATTAAGTTTTGCTTACCGAGGGAGTTCTGCGAAGTTCGATTCCCAACAGCCATACACACGCTCGATGGCTTTTCTCCTTCCGTGCACGCCTTCTTGTAGCTGACATCGACTTTCCAGCACTGTTTCACATCGGCCTGGATAAGTCTAACGTTGTAGTCCAGTTTCTTTTCAATCTTGTTAATTACAAAATTTGAAATCATACGAGCGGTTACGTTTTTGTGGTCATTTCTCTCGACCCGTTGCATACAAGTGTGTTTGTCAGTCCATTCAGTTATTTCCCACATTTCATGAACCCGTTTCTTAGTCACCCGAGCCTTCTACACACAAGGTTCATCTTCATTAGATCTGCACACCACTTTGCATGACTTCTGATTAGAATATATTGTCCGAACCGCCCTCAGCCAATCAACGTTCCAAGCCAACAGACCCCATTGTGCTTCTTCCTTGCTTTTAAAAACTGTACCCAAACGTATGGTCTCAATGTCGCCATTCCAAGATGGAAGAACATACTCGTTCTCATCTATCTTCGATGGATCCCATTCACCCATCTCGCGATATATGTGGTGGCCACCACTAGAAAGAGGGTCTTCCTCTTCAATCAATTCCGGTTCACTCTCCTCATTTATCGATCTGTCTGATTCGCTTTCGGAGGTCTCATCTGTGAAATCATCTTCACCAGGAATGAAATCTTCATCGCCTTCTTCTTCTTCTCAGTTCTCATTTTCTCATTGCATTGTTTAGCTTGTCCCTTCTCCAAAATTACGTAGATGGGAAGTCGACGTACCCTCAACATCCACCTCTCCCCCGTAACACCCCCACACATCCTCAACCTGTGTAACCGGTGTAATTGCCTCCAACGATAAATGCAAATACACCATGGACATAGGAGGAAGGTAATAAATATACTGAAGAACACTTTCGTTATTGAGTCTTAAGAAATTCAACGAACCACCGCTTTCCTCAACTATTAAAGTAATCTCCTTCATTGTCCAACCTTCTCCAAACCAACAATTTTCATTAATCATTTCTACCAATTGTTGATATGATATCCTCTCATCCGGATGATCTTTAAATAAAACAAATTCACTTAACCTTTCCTTCGCAAAATGTCAGTACAAATTAACAAAGCATGGACCAGAATATACCATTAATACCTGTTGCAAAAAGACACTTTCAATTCTTCTCAATTACAACAACACATAATGTCTAATGTCTAATCCAACACCAAAAAAATTCAATTATTTCGGATAAATTGAAAGCCCTAATTCTAACCCTAATTTCGAAAACCCTAAGCCCAACAACAACCAACCAATACACAATTAACAATTTACAACAAAATTCCAATCTCGAATTCAACATATACACATATTCGATAAACAATTAACAATTCCCAACGTTCAAACAACACCACATTCAAACATACTATAACAATTTCAATCTCCAAACAACTCCAAACAATGTAAAAAGTTGAAATAAGGCAATATACCTTGTGCGAATGAATTAACCGGAAATAAGACTCGTGTCGTTGTTGTCGATTTGGGTCGGGTATGATTGGATCGCGTTTTTTTTTTCGAAGGCTTCAAAATCGCAGAAAGGAAGAAAATCGCAGAAAGAAAGAGAAGGAGAGCTGCGCAAGTGAAGGAGAGATTTTTTTTTTATATTTCATTGTAAAACGTATTCTCATAATACGTTTTACTTTTTATTAATTGTAAAACGTATTCTCAAAATACGTTTGTTTTATTTATTTTTTTTCGTAAATTTAAATATATAAACGTATTTACAAAATACGTTTTATAATTACTATTTTTTTAAACGAAAAATTAATTATTTTTTTATTTTTCAAACATATTTTTAAAACGTATTATGAAAATACGTTTTTCTAATAAAATTTTATTTGAAAAACGTATTCTCAGAATACGTNATAAGTAAACTATCCCAAAATACACAGTTAAGGTGATGAGTAAGCCACACTCAAAATCACCGCCTATCATGACGTTGTTAAAAGTGATGCACACCAAGAGAAAGTCTTCGCGCTCTATAATCATCGCCAGGCAGAGGCACTCTTCTCTCATTTTTGTCCCTGAGTGGACTCGCAAAACCTCGCACCACCAGCGACTCAGAAAGAGGCTCGCTTTTTGTTCTCAAGAATTGGTTGGGATTTTGTTTGTCCTTGTTGCAAGGTTGGGAGTCGTCTCTCGAGATTGGCACCAAATACATGGACTTCATTCTAGTTAGGTTTAACTCTTGGTGGTCGTCATCATCACACATGTAACCACTGTCCTGCATGGCAAGGTCATCGTACTCCTCGTCCGATTTTGTGGATTCCTCGTCCACTGACCCCTCCATCTGATGAGAAAATTAATTTGTGCAATTAGTGAGCGAATTTACGTTGAAAACAAGGGAACATAGCCATCTTGGAACAAAAATGATGTGCCTGTTTCAAACTT